TTCAGGGGTAGGTACGTAGTCATAGCCCATGCGAATGAACGCCCGAAACGGCTGAGTGCATGGTACTCACAAGACGGACCGCACCCCATGTGCACCATCTCGCAGGGGAAAGGTATGGACTGGGCCGGGTCGCCCCATTTCAGGGGCCACTTGTAGTCGGCACACATGGCTTGCAGTAGAGGAGCCTGGCCTGTTTCGACCCCATACCGCAGCTCGCCTTTCCTGCAGCGTCGAAGTGCCTCGAGCAGTCTATCATCAACTGCTGCTGCAGAACTAATCCACTTGTTGTAAGCCCGGGGTAATTTGGATGGATGGTATATCCATGTCCACATGATGAAAGCACATGAAGTCGCAAAGACTGCGGGGTCTGTGAGTTTTGATATTATCGTCTCAGCCTGGAGCATGTCAGCTGGGAGGACAATAATGTCGAGCAATGGGAGCCTACTTGAGTCCAGGAATTCGTTGCCTGCCGCCGGCTCCGTCTCCGGGACCATAGTTCACCTACGACAACGTCCAGTGCACGTGTGGCGGCAAAGAGAGTCAAGTCCAGCGTACGGCCAGCATAGATGACGGTCTCGGCCTTTACCCCTGGCGGTGTCTCTGTCTTGACGACAGTGGTTTCTGTGTAGCTTGGGCTCTGCTTGGATTGAAGCAGCCGCAGACTGAACCACGCCGCGATGAATGAAGCAGCCCATCTCGAGAGTCTAGTGGGCGAGTGTGAGCAGCATTACCCCTCAAGTGACTGCGCACACTTACCTCTTTCGAGATGCTGCAGAAAGGCTTTTGAGTAAGTTCTGGAACACCCTGTTCAACGGAACCTACCAAAGGGGGTGTAAGTCAGCGAAGGGTTGTGTTTGTAAGTGAACAGTCGAGTGTGACGAAATACCTCTAATAGAGTGCTACCGCCAATAAGGGCAGCACAGAATGTTGGGAAGCGCTGCCATTCAAGTCCGGAGCGCAGGATGTGCTGCAAGGATTTGTGAAAGCTGGGTTGCGATTTCTGATGTGCTACTTTACCCCTGTAAGAGCTCTTGGTGAGGTGCTGCACGAGCAAGGTCACAAGTCTCGGCGCGACAACCGATGCGTAACCCAAGAGGTAGGCGCGTACCAGAGGCCGTAATAGAGGAGGCACGGTGTGATCTAATCTCTGAAGCTGGCTGCTTCTCGTCGTGGTCATTTTCGAAGTCGACATGTCCGGCATTCTTACATCCCTTGACGTGGATGTGGTACAGTTGCTGACAGCTTAAGCGACGATAGTCAGCATCACTGACTGTCTGGCGCGTTAGTCCACATTAACCAGAATATGCCTGATGAGCGACGCGAGAATGCGAACGGGAAAAATGATTCCAAGTCCCGTCAGCATAGGCAATTGAGTGATGGTCAATCGAAAAGTGATACAAAGACTCGTCGGTCGCGATGAAGAGAACGATGATGATGACGATGCGAACAATGCCAAAAAGGAGTGGTGGTCGCTGACATGTGATGATGTGAGAACGGCGCGATCCGCCCAAGCCTCGATGCTAGCCGCTTCGTATGGCTGCCGCTAATTGGGCGTGGGTAACGCAATGTACTGCATAGTAAGGCGTGTGTAGGTGCGTGCTGCGACAGTGCGAAGATGTAGGCACAATGGACAAGAAGAAAAAGAGTGAAGGCAAGAGAGAAGAAGAATAGAAGAAAATATGGCGGTCCTCAGACAGCACCGCGGTAGTTCAAGATTAAAGTAAAGTGCTTGCTTCAACGGGCAGCACAAATTGTCTCCGACGACTGTATCTTGGATTGCAATTCAAGAGCGGGCGCGAACTCTCGACTTTTCTGACACTGGACTAGGTACCGTACAGCAACGAGCAAAAGTAACACTGTCAACGACAACTTGAGCATTTCCCACATATGTGGTTGATAGATATCCCAGCAAGAATAGTCTCCTCGGCTGTACCTATAAGCCCAAGGGATGGATAGGCAGGCACAAGTGTAATGCTGGTTCAACTAGGGCACTTTTAGACGCGTCCAACAGGGATTACTGGAGTAAGGGACACAAGGTAAAACCTAGGCACTGTACTGGAAAGACAAAAACGGAACTGAAGTCAGGCAGCCTTTATCGTAATGTCCCTTTGGCTCGAGCATGGGAAGAGTTTAACAAGCAACAGCGTGATTACTTAAGAAAGGAGCATCTCGACAGCTTTGGCATGTATTGAACCCATCACGGTCGCGTCTCGAGACACGCGATCAAGAAGGTGATATTAGCAAGCGATTAAGCGGACATGGGTCTTCCGGCTCTCTTCCCAGGCATGAGAAAATATTCCTAAGAGTCTAAATGGCTCCAATCAACTGGACTCAATTACCTGGGATACCTAGAATTTAGTCAGAGGCCGCAATAATAGCTCGGTCATACTTGGAGATTCCTATTGCCGAACCCAACTCTCTGGACTACTTGCCAGATCGACCCTTTTACGATGCGCTTACACGGTAAGCTCCTCCATTTCAGCCGCTAAGATCGACTGATTCGGAGTGTGGAGTTTGTTGATGCGGAGCAAATGAGCGAGTTCTTGGCAGCAAGCGGCAGGTCAGGCACAGATCGCTGGGCCCCGGTCTCTCTCGATGGCGGGCGACTGACCATCTCGGCGGGATGCGCGGTGGGCTGGCTGAGTACAGCGGAGATACTCCGAGGTGCCCTCGAGGTGCCCTAGATGGGTGCAACACTGAATCTACACACAATTGTATAATCTACAGTGATTACGCACAAAGTTTCGCCGGTAGGCCGAGATATCCCGAGGCGGGAGAGGTTAGAGGAGCTGGAGACTGGCAACAGTATGCAGGCTGTGACCCTACCTCACGGTATTACTGCCGGCACAAAATGCAATGCAAGTTCCTTGTGGCCCTTGTCGGATGCAAGAGCAAAAAAAGGTACCACAAGTCCTGATGGTAGCTCTGTACCGAACTGAGCGAGTTGAAGAGACACAGTCGAAACTTACGCCGACCAGCAGCGTCCATCCATCGGATGTATCCTCGTCTGACATGATAACGCAGTTGCTGACCGCTCGCGACTTCGAGAGCGTTCAAGAAGGTCGTCGTGATACCATCAGCATGCCTCAATGCGGTAGGTTACTCATACTCTACCGTCCCTAACCTGACCTACGAGTATGTTTCACCGGGACTTTACGAGGCCACCTCTTTGGCAACGGTGAGCCGGTAATTGGCGGGACAGAGCACGAGGGGTTTGCTTAAGGTTGTTGGGACCAGAGCTCGGTGATGATGGCATGGCCTGGCATGGCATTGCATGGCATTGGTGTGGATGGTGTGTGTCTGTGAGTGTGTGTGTCCTGGGCTCGGCGACGTCTCTGGCATGTGATGATGCCTTAACGGAATACTCGCGAGAACTGCATGGGCTAGGAAGCTATCCAGCCACACCTCCTTGTCGATGGCGTTCTGCGTTGTACTTTCGGCACCCGCGGGGCCATGTGCACCTTGTCAAAATCCTGGCGGGCACATGATGCGCGCACGAGAGAGTCTTGCGATGTGCAAAGCCTCGATCTATGCACGTTTCTGCTTTATGCAGCCTCCTCGGTCGGCACTGCCTGGAAGTGAACGGTGAGAGGAGATCCCCTACTAGCTAACGTTGAGTTTCGACTCTCGAGGCCAGTATTGAGGCAGATTGCGATGCAGGTGCAGGGGACATGGATCTTTCTTGCACGGCGTCTTTTCCACTTTCAGGGTGCGTCCCGCCGCGGACGCACTCTCTCTTTTGTGGCTCTTGGGGCATCGTCGTCATTTCCTCGTCGACTTCCAAGTCAGTCCCTCAGTCTCTCACTCACTCAGTCAGGCACTTCTTGCCTTGTCCCGTTGTCTGGCCGGGTTTCCCCATATTCCACTCTCTTGCCTTTTTCTCTCCTCTTCTGGAGTGAGTGAGTGAAGTAGTCGCCCAGTCAGTCTAGTTAATAAGTTGATCTTGGAAGTTCTCGGGGAAAAGGCGCCACCTGTGTCCAAGCCCTCCACTTCCATATAGACCTAGGTACATTGCTTGTTACATTATATAGATACCTGAGCAGTCGCCCCCTTCGTACATACACCAGTCACCCGACAGAGATCCCCAAAGGTACCTACATTTCAAAGGGGAGTTGTATGTTCTCAAGAGACGAGATCCGCTTGTGCAGGCCGATGTTGACCCGTCTCTCATCCTTCAAACGTTCTGTGCCCATTGAGCAGTCAGTAATTCACTCACTCATTCCCCAGGCGGTTAGTTTAATGTCTTGTAGGTACCTACTCTGGCTGCTGGGGGCGACTTGACTTGAGCCTTGGACTGTCAATTGCCCGTCGTCTTGTTCCACACCCGGCGACGGGGCCTGCAATAAGCTAAAGTTGCTAGCGACTGCTGCCACCGTTCTCCCCGCCTTTTCACGAGCTTTTTTCCTGCCTTCCGTCCTGGATTTGTATGGGGTCACCAACTCTACACTAACTTACACCTCACACTCCTCTACCTCCTCTACTCTGTCTCTGGCTCAGTACATACATCACACCCCACCGACTTGCACCTCCACCGTCCACTTCCACAGTCCACATTACCAACCCAACTCCCACTTCCCCAGCGGCTCATCCAACCTGCCAACCGTCTCCAGCACACGATCACTCTGTCGTCGTGTCCCCTACAAACTTCAGCGCATGAACAACAAGGCCGCCTCGTCGCTTGTGATGCGCTAGGTTTAGCCAGGTCGGTTCTGAAGAGACATGACACTGTCGCTGTCAACGTCTCGTCTTGAAAGCACACAACTCACACCAAACACCGCGATCTCGAAGCGCATCGCCTGCATTCCGCTTCTATAACCCCTTTCCCACAACAAAATACGCACCCATGCTGGCCATACAGCGTCCCAGAATGGGTTCGACGCAACCGTCAGACCCCAACCTGCCTTTTGGCTGTTCGTAACCCCCAGTCCTCGCCCGGATGTGCTGCTTGCTTCTCGTACTGATGTTCCACCCCAGATGCGGTAGACCCGACTCAAGAGCTCATGTTCTTCGACCCTCCAGAGCCCGCACCGGGCGCTCCGTTGCTCTCCGATACCGACAACAAGCTGCTCAACAGCTTCTTTGAGAATATGAGTTCTGACCACTTCGCCACGACCTCGTTCGGCGAGGGGCTCAACTTCAGCGAGGACTGGCTGAACTTGCCGCCGCAGTTCATGGGCACGGCTACTTCGTTCGGGCAGCAGCCGGCGGTCCCGATGGAGTCACCACCACACCCCGTCCAGAACACAAACTTCCACACCATCATGCATCCCCAGTCCAGCCTCATGCCACCCCCTCCACCGCCTCCGGCCGCCCACTTGCATCTGGAACAGCAGCAAGCTTCGGCGGATGTACTAGAGGCAGCGACTTTGCTGCAGAACGGCTCCCTCTCGAGGTCGAACGGCGCGGGTCATGATACTATCTTCCCTTCGAGGGATCTGTCCACTGTGCCTCCCTCAGTATCCTCCCATCTGAGGCATCAGTCTCTAGGAAGCATTAGACAGGATGAGCGACGTGTGTCGCACTCTAGCCATCCGAATGACCATGACCACACCTTTACGGAGATGATGTTCGGCTCTGGAGGGAGTCAAATCCAGACCAGAAGTATTCAGACACCCGTGGATGTGCGGTGGGGCTCAGACGTCAATTTCAGCAAGGCGCAAGGTTTCGTTCCGTCCTCCGAGAAGGAGACGAGAGAGGCCATGGAAGAGGAGCAGCTGCGGTACATGGACTGCTTAGAGGTCAGCAAGAGTGCGGCGAGCACGCGCCCCTCCAGCCCGTTACATCATCACGCAGACGCTCTGCCCCTGAACCTGAAGACGAGGGTCCCGATGAAGCCCATCAAGATGGAAGATGGACACGACATGCCGGCACGCAAACGGCGGAAGAGCAAGGCCAAGGAGGAGGTTGAGGACGAGGACGATGAGTCATCCTCCGCCACGATCAAGACTGCTGCCCGGAAGAGAAAATCAAAGGCTGAGATCCGTTCAGCCACCCCGCCGGCCGCGACCGAGGCTTCCGGCAAACGTCGGAAGTCGATGGCCAACGGAGCGGGGAAGCAGGCAAGGGAGAATCTGAGCGAGGAGCAGAAGCGAGAGAACCACATCAAGAGCGAGCAGAAACGACGAACTCTCATCAAGGAGGGCTTCGATGACCTATGTGACCTCGTCCCAGGCTTGAGGGGAGGCGGCTTCAGCAAGAGTACGATGCTTGCCATGGCCGCGGATTGGCTCGAGGAGATCATGAAGGGCAACGATCAGCTCAAAGCACAGCTTGCCCAGCTCGAGGGGAGGTGATGACGCCTCTGTGTATTTTTCTCCATTGTCGCATCATTTTGGTCACAACGGCGTGAGATACCTGGGCATGGGACTGCATGGTTGGGGTTTTCGGCAAGGCTTTGGCGTTTCCTGACAATTCTTGAATCCACAACGAGCCAAAAGGTCGACAGTGCCACGGCTTAAGGCATCCCTGGAACTGGATAGCCTGGGGAATCCTTTAGGAGGCTTCGATGCATTGTCTGGGTGGGTGTGTGCACATGTATGCTGCGATGAACCTTGAGGGTTGAGCCCAAAGCGAGGGTGAGAATGACCAATGAGATATCCAACCATAAGCTTAATATATGAAATCGATTCAAGAAAGCAAGGCTTTATTCTACTGGAGTCAGTTGCGATGCACTTCGAGTGGATGCGTGTCCAGTCACTATGCCTGTAACATTCAAACGAGGTTGTCTTATATACAACCTGCTCGCTGGCCAGTTGCAAGCATATATGATTAAGCTGAACAAGTATCACTGGGCTATCATCGAGTTGTGATGCTGGTCTCAAAAAATCAGATGCCTTCTCTTCTGCAGATAGTACTAAGTGAAGCAGCATGCATGGAGGCAGCAACCATGATGGTATCAATTCTCAAATTCATATTTATTTTTAACGACTACTTCTGCTCTTGGAGACCCTTTCACCTCTTACGTCGCTCTCAGCAGGTGACACACCCCCAGCACGAACACGCACACAAGCATGTCTGACCTCACCGTGCTGAAGATCTGGCTGTACCGCAGCCCGATGCCGAGATACCCCTTGAATGGCTCCGGCAGGAACCCCGCGATGGTCCACAGCATGCCCGAGGGCGGGGCGCGCCCGCGGTCCAGGAAGAAGCGGCTCGTCAGCAGCACCGTCTCGGCGGTGGCGAACGCCCAGAAGAAGTACCGCCGCACGCTGTCCTCGTCCTCGTGCCGGATGCCCGCGGTGGTCGACTCGAAGGCCGCCCGCTCCCGCTCGATCTTGGTGCCGGAGAAGGTCGTGAAGACGGCGATGTACAGGCCCAGGCCCAAGGCGATGACAAAGTGCACGAGGCGCCAGATGGAGGCGTACCGGTCTGGCGTGGCGGGCGCCGCTGGTTGGCCTGGTGCTGCGCCGAATGCTCCAGCCTGTGCGAAGGGGTTGCCTGCGCCGAAGGGCCCGCCTGCACCACCGGGTCCGCCTCCTGCGCCGGACATCATTTGGGATAGGAGCTTCATCATGGGATCCTCCTCGGCTCCGGCCCCGCCTGTAGCACCGCCCATTGCGGGATCGAAAAAGGGGTTTGCGCCCGGACGCTCGAAGCCCAGCATCATCTCTCGCATCTGGGCCTCCGTTATGTTGCTTTGGTCTAGAGGCGGCGTGGCAGCCGCTGGGGAGCGGCTGGTGGCTCGGGGTGTATAGTAGTGTTGCGAGATGTCGACCTCGTCCGGGTCTGCATGCTGTGGTGTGCCTGCTGCGGAGTCTCCTGCCGCCTCAGATGTCGGCTGTGGTTGTGAGGGTGGAGTGGACGGGGGATCTGATCAATCAGTCAGCTTGAGATGTTTAGAAAAGCAGCGTATGAGGGCCGGCGGTGAGTGTGCTGAGCACATCGTACCTCTCTGAATGCCTCCTCCCAATCCAGTGATCTTGTTCAGGCGAGCGCTGCCACCTGCTCTGATTTTGGCCTCGCGCCGCTCTTTGCGAATGCGGGCCTGCTCTGCTGCTCGTGCAGCCGCGGCGTCCTCAGGCGTGGTGGGATTGCTTTCCGTCATTGCGTCGGTAGCATGAGCGGCTGAACTCGCAGAATCCGTATCACACACAAAGACAGGAGAAATGAGAGTTTTACGGAATAAGGTCAGGAAAGGTATGACGATGTTAAGAAATTGGGGGTGCTAAGGATTGCCCTCTCTCAGCTTATCGGCAGCCACCCCCCACTAATCGGAGTCCACGTTGCAGCACGACCCCGTACCTACCTGTATCTGAAAGACCGTTGCCCATATTATTTGAGCCGCACTGAAGAATCAGGGCATGGATATATACTATAATTGCTCATTTGGATATTTTAATTTTGTACTCGTCTACTTAACGGTAATTGCTCATCATACTCTGGCCATATTCCTAGCCAGACTATGATTCTCCCCAATTTTAGCACAATTCCAACACGACTACAGGCTTGGACCCGGCACTACAGTATTTTCCACCTCTCTCTAACAATCGTACTGCATTGAGTTCTAGATTTAGGAAGTCTCCTAGAACATAGGAGACTGACATGTTATATATAGTCTCAAAGAGCCTCACGGCGTAGCCTTGCTCATACCAATCAGTCGCTTGACACCGACCTGTAACGATTTGTTAATTCATGAAGCATGATTGTCGCAAAAAAGCTTGTGATGTGTGATGCTTACCATCCAGTTGCCACATTCTTCAGTCTTCTCTTTCTGAATATCAACTTGCAGTCGGTGTGCAGCATCATAGTTTCTTGCCTGCAAAGCTTCCGCGAGCTCTGAAAGCTGGCCAATGGTGTCTGACTTGACCAAGTCTTCGTTGTTCAGATGGTCAAATAGTAGATTGAGACGCTTCTGCGTGTCCTTCACCTGGGGCGCGAAAGATGCCGGTGCTTTCGAGGCGACCCTCTGCATTTCTCGGTTGAGAATATCCACAAGCGGCTGTGCACTCGCTGGGATGTGAGAACGGTCACCAGCAGGATGCTTGGCCTTGGGAGGAGGAGCAGCCCGTGGGGGTGGAGGTGTCGGCTCTGCCCGAGCGGCTGGTGGTGGCCCTTGATGGCTTGATGGAGGTGGCGCAATTGGTGGCCGTCCAACTTGGCCAGGAGTAGACTCATAAGGGGATGGCGCATACTGGCTAGGGGGAGCTTGTTGCTGCGGCTGAGGCGCATATGGGTTGACTGGTGGCGGACGGTTTCCTCCTGGGGGAGGTCCAGTTGGTGGCTGCTGTTGAGCTTGATTGAACTGTTGCGGAGCCGGAGCCGGAGCATAACGGTTAGTAGGAGGCGGTCCTGCGGGTGGCGCATTGTAGGGTGATGCTGTTCGGGGAACGGTGTGCGACATCATTGGAGGCAGTGCCCCCTGAGGTGGAGGAGGAGGGGCATAGCTGTTGGCTGCCGCAGACGGCGGTCTCACCGGAAGCTGGGAAGATTGGGGAGGCCCTGCCAGAGGAGATGTCACACGAGGTGGTGCCGGCCCCTTGGGCGGAGGCGGGGGTGGTGTTGGGGCTCCATGCTGGGCTCCATAAGGACTCGGGGGTGGCGGCTGAGAGAGACCGCCTTGGTTGGGAAAGGGAGACGCGATCGGAGCTACCCGAGGTGTAGATCTCCGTGCTGGCGCCTTTGTGACCATTGGCACGTCATTCCAATCACCAACATCCTTGGCTCGCGGAGGAGGAGGAACGGCAGATGGAGTTGTGTTTCTTGGGGGTGCCCCAAACTGCGGCGGCGGTGGCTGACCATATCCATAACCTGACGATTGCGGAGGGGTGTAGCCTTGCGACGGCTGTCCATACTGTGGAGCAGGAGATGGTGCGAAGGAATTCACAGCAGGTGGAGCATACGGGTTTGACTGCTGTGGTTGAGCTGGCGCCGCATAGGGGTTTGGTTGCTGCGGTGGTGCTGGTGCTGCATACAGGTTGACTGGACTTGCCCCAAGAGCAGGCTGGGGTGGCTGAAACCCCAGATTAGGCTGAGGTCGCGCTGCTGATCTTGTTGTTGTAGCCTGTTGTCTTCCTGTAGCCTGGGGAGCTTTCTGTGTGGCTAGCTTGACGCGATTGCGAGCTACCTCTGCCGCAGGGTAATTCAGGGGGAGAAGGTCGAGATACTTCTGGGCCACGGCGAGGAGACCGTGAGCAGCCACAATATCGGCGTACTCAGTATACTTGTCATAAAGGGCGCCAAGCTTCCATCCTGAAGAGAGACCTTTCTCTGAGTCTTGGAACTTAGTGACCTGCCTGAAAACGGTGACCTTCTCAATGAAGTTTTGAAGGGATCTTGCGTGTACTGAAAATGTAGAGTCAGTCTCCGATTCCTTCATTCCAGCTTGCTCCGCCTCTTCTAATTCCGTTATCCAGATTGTGACAACCTTTTCGAGCTTGGAGCCCACAAGATAACAGAACGAAGCGTCCTTGCGGGACCCAGACTCGAGAATGCGGTCACCCAGCGCCTCGCAGAGGTCTGGAAACTCAGTTGGTTTTGCAAAGGTACAAAGTGTCGCCATGGTCTCCTTCCAGTCACTGAGATCTGCATTGTAAACAACGTCCCACAGGTTTTCGGCAATGACAGAGCTCAACAGCCGTAAATAGCTGGGGCTGCCCTTCTTTTGAGAGAGATAAGTAGCCTGAACCTTGTCAACAAGCTCCTTGCCACCGCAATTAGCGATAATGAAAGCATCGGCAATACGATCTTGCTTTAGACAAATCTCAGCAGCCTTATGGAAGTTGCCAAGCATGAGAGCTTTGGTGACCGAATTTTCTAGAGAGGTGTTGCCATCTCCGAAGAGACTGAACGGGCTATCTGTTTTGGCTCCCTTATTCGCGGCCAGGTCAGAGAGGAAGTCGTCCCCATCAGCACCATCTGCAAAGAAGCTGGAAAGACGATTCTGTTTCTTCAGATCGCCATTTTCTTTTGCGATCTCTGAACCAGCTGGGCTGGTGTCCAGCGCTGCATCATCAGTATCAGCAGCGTCGGCATCTTCGTCTTTAGAAAAGCCCATGTACTGGATAACCTGCTGTCTCGGGTTTTCAGAGACTAGCGTTTCCATGACTAGCCAGTCTCCTTTCTCTTCCTCCGTCTTTGCATGTTCTAAATGCGTCGCGCATATCTGCTTGATATCACCAGTTTTCAATGATTCCTCAAATTTCTCAGTTGCGGAACCAATATCAGAATCCACAGAGAAGTGAGACAGCTGTACTTTCGAGGATCTGGGTTGGCCAGGGGCAGTCGCGTTCTTCTTGAAAATGACGACCTTGCCTCCAAAGCCAAACGAAGCACCAATCGGCCGCTCGAGCCACGTTGGCGCCTTGGGCAGCGAGAAGGAGGCTCCTTGAGGCTGCGTCTGAGCCTTGGTGAAGAAATCCTCACCATCCAGGTTGCTCTGGGCTGCGCTCTGGGCCGTGGACGGGTTTGTATTCTGAAGAGTCTGGATAGTGATCTTGCCGTCAAAGGATGCAGTAGCGGAAAGGGTTGGATTATGGGGATTGAAGCGAGTCAAGAAGGTCCAGTTCGTAACTTCGGGAAACTCTCCATATCTCGTGCCAGTCTGGGGGTTCCAGACTAGTGTTCGGTTGTCTTTGCCACAAGATATCAGCAGATCGCTATCCTGCTGGCACCATGAGAGAGACAGAACTCCCTGTTCATGCCCTTGCAAAGTCCTCTCCGGCGCATTCGAATTCCTCAGATCCCAAAGCAGGATGACGGGCGTCATATCGTCGGGCGTAGCTGTCAGTAGCTTTGTCGAGTTGTTTGGGTCCCACGCAATGGCGCTAACAGGCTTGCGGTTGTTGTTCAAGGTCAAGGACGCCTTCTTGGTCTTGAGATCCCATACAGTGACAAAGCCACCAGCACCACCTGTAGCCAGAATATGAGGCACTTTTCTGTTCCATGCAATGCATTCCAGGTCATGAGCCCCTTGGCTTCCTAGGCGGAAGGGATTGGCAATATCGTTGACATCGTAAATGAAAAGCTCCCCTTTTGCGCCGGCTGTCGCGAGGATCTGTGGTTTCAAGGGATTGAACTGGAGGGATTTGATGGGCCCTGTATGCTTTTGCGTGCGGGACATGAAGGCACCCTCTGCGTCACCAGATACAAGCTTCTCGGCATCCCAGAGGTCTAGAGCACCATTCTCAAGAGCGCCCGCAATAATTCCTCGAGGGTGGTCAGCATCAGGAGGGCCCCAGGCAATGTCGTAGAATCTGAAATCGCAAAGTCAGTATAGATGACAATATCCCGAATCGTAAGTAGCTGGCCGTACCTCGATTCGGTGCTGAGGGAGGCTATGGGCTGGAGTTCCAAACCCTGCTCCTGGTTGTCTAAGTCGAGGTCCCAAAGCTCCAGCTTGGTCTCATCGGAGAAGTCGACATCTACGGCTCCAGCTCTTGTTCCAGTGACGAGCAGGGGCTTGGAAGTCCCAGACGACCAGGCGAAAGCCGCAGTTCGCGGAATCTCCCTCAAGCGCACCATGTCGGTGAGAAGGGGTACTGCCCGCCCAGAAAGCTGCTAGGTCGATGCAATTATGGCCGAATCGACGGCGATTAATCGTCAAGGGTAATTGTGAACCTGCAGGAGAAGCACAATTCACTGTGAAAACATCGAGTCAGTTGCAGGGCGAGTTGATGTAAAGGAAAACACGTCGAAGGAGGCGAGATTATTGTGGACGGGATCGTTACGTTGTCAGGAGTTCCCAGAAGTTGGCTAGCTGCAAGTAATGGCACTCTACTAGCTATTCGGGTACACAGTTGCCAGATTGTTAACTTGACCTCACAAGCCCCACGAAACCCACCAAGCAACCAACGTATTGCGCCTCCTGCCGTCTAAGGTCCGGGCTTGGGCCTCCCTCTAGCGTCAAGCTTCACACGTGACGATGCCTACCGCTCATTGAAGCGTGCTGCCGTAGTTGAGGCAGTTGCCGCCACCTACCGCCCGCTTGGAAATCACTGGCACTGTAGCCTTACAGTGATTGCTTGCGCCAAAAACCCACCTGCTACAGCACCTACCTCCCCGCATTCATGCCCCTCAGCTGGCCCAACCCAAGAAAAATCAGCGCTTAAAGCTCACACCTATCGAGGCACCCAGCCAGTCTATCCACATCCCCAACTTATCTGCCAACAAGCTCACAGTCCACTGCGGCGCATCACAAGGACCGAACATGACCGACACGGCGAGGTGGAAGGCGACCGTCTACGTCGGCGGCCTTGCCCCGGTCGTCACCACCGGCACCCTACACGACGCCTTCATCCCGTTTGGTGAGATCGCCGACGTGTCCCTACCGAAGAATGAGAACCCAAATTCCACCGATCCGCACCGTGGCTTCGCCTATGTGGAGTTTGAGGATGCGGAAGACGCAAAAGAAGCAATAGACAACATGGATCAGGCAGAGTTCTTCGGCAGGGTTATAAAAGTATCGGCAGCAAAGGCGCCGAAGAGCGCAGACGAGGGTCTCGGCAGCAAGCGGGCTGTTTGGGAGCAGGTACGTCACATTGCTTCAGGACCTCCTGCTTTTTTCCACCTCCAAACAGAGAAGACTAACCAAAATTTTTCAATTAGGAGTCATGGCTTGCCGAACATGCTGTGAGCGAGGAAGACAGGCTTGCGGCAGATCAAGCAGCTGCCGTGCAAGTGAGGCCTGAAGATCCAATGCAGGGGC